TGATACTTATTTTTGAGAGGTTGGCATTTAACTAAATTCCATTTGCTACAGATTATAATATAAATTTAATCTGAGTGAGGAACTCAGATGATCAATAAATCATACACCTTTTTATTATGCAAACCCAATAACGACGAAATATTAAGTGCTAGTTGACACAGTTTTTCGTAGTATACCTGTCATATAACTTCAAAAAAACATATCTTGTTTACTTACTCGCCAGAGGCGTGGGACGTAAAAGGGAAAACTTTTATCCAAAAAATCGTCTCGACAAGTATTTGAATCCAGACATTCAAAATTAAACAACCCGCTAAAATATTGTAACTGACTCGGATAATTGGAACTGTACAGATGGTCAGAAGTGGGATCGACGCTTAGACAACATTTACGTGACCATAAATGGAGCTCGCGAAAACGCTGGAATGTTTCTCTGCTAGTCGATAGGAGAATATCTACTCGTTTATATGGCGGAAGCAGTCAGACACAGTTGAGACCGAGAACGCCGCGTTAATATAGTCCAGTCATAGGGTAATAAATTGGACAGTAAAAACGATGTTTTTCTTATAATATCAATAATTATGCATTACACAATACGTATCCGAAACTTGTATGTTGAAAGCGAACCAATTTAAATCGATAGTCAGCTTAATAGAATTTTCTTTCATTTCTCACACATAAAACAGCGTCAAACGTTTAAAGTAGCATGAGTGGTTGCGGCACAGGCGGCGAGCAAGCAATAGCCGAATGCGGGCTGTGATGCTGTGAATAGGCAACTGTGGAGCTTTTAGCGGTGATTTATCTGAACAGGATTGGCTGTCAGTTTAGAGAGAAGGAACATACACGCGAACAGCAGAAGCGCCGGCGTTGATTTGCACAGGTGTGTCGGACAGATCTATTCCCAATATATATTCCAATCATGCAACTCTTAAAAGCTTTGGGCATATTGTATAGTAACATGAGATGTACAATACCTATTTTTCCGCAACCGAATGGAAATTTATATACAGTGGACCTCCGGTAATCCGACAAACATTATGCAGGGCAGTGTCGGACTATCGAATTTGTCGGATTATAGAGCACTGCCTAAGACCCCGTATAGTCAGGAATTTTTTACAAAAGAGTACCTTGTAATCCGACAAATTACATATCCAATGGTAAGATTATATATGTTATGTATATGTATGTACTTTGAAGAATTAGGTAAATTAAATAACAATAGAGAGCTTACGTTTTATTATAAAATTAAGCATAAATGCACATACATATGTACCAAAATAATCAAGAATTATTAATCAAAATCATTAACGAATTTATCAAATTATGAAGCTTGGAAATATTAATCATTTTTTTTTGTTTAAGGTTGTTATAACGCGAGATCAGAGCTTTGTCCCTCAGTCTTCTCAAAAGTAAAAGTTCGTTGTAGGATGTACCATTCTCTTCAGCCCATTGTAAACCTGGCTCAAAGGCGTTAATTGTGTCTTGTGCTGTGACTTGTGGAGCAGTTGCAATCACGTCGTCGTTATTTTCCTGATTGTTTGTTGTATAACACTGGACAACAAATTTTAGTTTTTCAATTGTATCTTGTGGGAAAAGTGCACTTCTTTGTTAATTTTGGGGCGCTGAATCCAAAAATGACAATGAAATAAAAAAATTAGTTGCGGTTTAGAAAAAAAACTTTTTATTTTTAAGGATATATTAAAAAAAGTAACAAGATTCATATACTTATAAGAATCACTATATGCGCTGTCTTTTTGCTGTTCTTTTATGGATCGTTTCTGGAGCATCTCTACCAAGAGTCCAACAGTAGTCTGCAAGCATGGAAGGATTCCACTTTCCCTGGTACCTTTCTTCCATTGATGAAAACGTTTGCTCATCACTTACGGCTCCGCAATTGCCAGGAAAAAGTCCAGGTGTGAGTGTAGGAAATTTATCTTAAGAGACATATTACAGCCCATCTTTTGATACGATGACATCATATTTTTGACAAGGGTTTTATAGTTGTCAGCTTTTCTATTTCCCAAGAAATTAGTGACCACCAGACGGAAATCATTCCAAGCAGTTTTTTCAATACCTGTTAAAGTGTTTTCAAACTGTGTATCTTGCAAAATATTTCGAATATGTAGCCCAACAAAAATACCTTCTTTAACCTTTGCCTCACTTAGTCTTGGAAATTTCTGACGCAGGTATTGAAAAGCTGACCCATCTCTTCCTAATGTCTTGACAAAGTTTTTCATTAGGCCCAACTTGATATGCAGTGGTGGTAATAAAATTTTTTTCGAATCTACTAATGGCATATGCTGTACATTTTTTTGACCTGGCTCTAGGAATTGACGAACAGGCCAGTTTTGTCTGGTGTAATGAAGTGCCTTTGCCCGACTGTCCCATTCACACAAAAAACAGCAAAACTTTGTGTAGCCTAGCTGCAGCCCAAGTAAAAGTGCAACAACTTTCAAATCGCCACAAATATGCCATTGGTGCTTATCGTATTATATGCATGTCAATAGGTACTTCATATTGTCATATGATTCTTTCATGTGAACTGCATACCCTACAGGAAGAGATGGTAAAATATTTCCAATATGCAATAACACTGCCTTTAAATTCAATGTTGAACTGTCTATAAACAATCTCCATTCTTCTGGGTTATAGTTTATATTTAAAGCCGCCAGTAAGCCGTTAATGTTACTGCAGAAAACCAAGTTATTCTCCATATTGAAAAATGGTTCTAAGTCTTTGTGGCGTTTACGAAAAACACATACCGAAACATCGTCTTCTAACAAGTTCCACTGCTGCAGTCTTGATCCAAGTAACTCTGCCTTTTGGAAGTTCTAAATCTCTTACAAGATCATTTAATTCTGACTGTGTTATTTTGTGCGGTTGGTGGCATGACGTGCTCGGTATAAAATCAGGATCTCTTGACGTTGATGGCTTATCTTCTTCCTGACGAATCACTCGATCGCCATGATCTGATTCGTTTTCTGATTCGCAAGTGTAAGATTCTGGGGGTTTTGGAATAGGATTTTCGTCACTTTGAGGCACAGGTCCCATCGCAGATGGTATGTTTGGGTAGTTAATAACCGATTTTTTTTTCTTGGACATACCTGTGGCTTGTCCAACACAAGGTACCATGCAAAAGTAACAATCATTAATATGATTTGTAGGCTCTCTCCAAACCATTGGGACAGCAAAGCGCATAGACCGTTTTTTGCCATTTAACCAGCTCCTCAGACTTGAAGCACATGTATTACAGCAGATGTGGGGTGCCCACTGTTTGTCTTGATCACCTAGTTTACAACCGAAATAAAGCTGATATGCCTTTGTTATTAGTGGAGTAATAGACCGTCTCTGAGACGCAAAAGTCACATCACCACACACGTAACAAAACTGATCTGGATTGTTTACACACTTTCGAGATATCTTGCATGAACGCTGTCAGCCAACTGAGGAAAAAATGGCTAATATAAAACAATATAATGTACACGTATGTATAACGTAACACAATCATGCCGATTACATCATCTTTCCTTGCCGAATATAAAAATGTAGCACGTGCATTCTTGTGAATTAAAAACACTGTCACAGCAGGAACACATATAATTACCGTATCTCTAAAACTTGAACTAATATTGAAAAAATAAGTTTCATTCCGGTTTTAGCACATTAAAAATAGTAATATTTTGTTGATTTTATTTAGGATATTTTTTGGCTGTTGATCAGTGTTATCGGGGGTCCACTGTACAGTGAAATTCCCCTTCACCGACTCTCATATAATTTGCGTTGTAATAACTCTCTCTCGAACGCACGCGGACACGAGAAAACGTTCTCCTGACCGGACAAAAAACAAAATAAACCGAAACGCCTTGTCTTATTTTTTTCTGTTGAGAGTAATCCGGAATTATGTAGTCTGAACTTCAAACTTCGTTTTTAAAAATTATATTTGGTTCCAACAATAATGTATATCGACCGAACCGGCATTACAGTGTGTGTGTTCGCTGTGACTGAGTTTGAATGACTGACTCATAATTCAGATAAATCGTTAATATAAACCAAAAGCTATCAGCTAGCAAAAATGAATACAATGCAAAAGCCAGTTGAAATACAAGAACTTTCCGAATATTCTGATGTCGATGAGGTTCCAGGACCAACATAATAATAAGTATAACTAATTGCCGTCTAAACAACCAGCCAGGTGAGGAGGTGTCTATGTAGACAGGTGAGAAAAGCGTCATTCAGCCGTTAGTTGGGTACTTCGTCAGGATTAAAGCAATGAGGACTCGTTTTACTTTATTATCTCGAGCTTTCGATGAACTATCATCAGGAGAACAGCATGCGAGATTGTTGCTGAATGTTATTATTGGTTAGGTTGATGGGAACATTAAGGCCCGTATCATCAGTCGTCCCTACAATTGTAGGGCGCGTTTATGGCCTCCTTGATTGTCATACTCCTTTCTCTCCTTCAAAATTTCTAGATTACACTTGTCCCGTGTCAGCGTCCTCCTATTGTGAAGATATGTTTTCTTTTTAAATTGTAGGAAATTTCAGGCTGATAAAACATGATATAACTCAAAAGCAAGCACAATTTGATGCAAATAGATGTTTGTGACATAACCTCAAAATAGAGCGCTGACACGGAGAAGTAGAAAACTATGACAATCAAGGAGGCCATAAAGGCGCCCTACAATTGTAGGGACGACTGACGATATGAGCCTTAGTAGCCTGGTGAAAGCTGCATTCGTTAAAAATAGTAAAAAACGCACAGCTGTATGTCAGGATGTTAATTTTTTTTACAATGTTTCATCGTGCAGAACCACGTGTTGCTGCCAATAATTATGGTAAAGCCATTACTCTCACCAAAAGTTTTGTCGAAAATCAGGGGGATACAGTCTTTGGAGCTTCTTTCTAAATTATAAATACGATTTCAAGACGCCATTTTTAGTCGGGACCGTATTTGTTTTAATTGCTTTTTATTGTACGACGTTTCGACCATCACGGCGGCCTTTTTCCGGAACAATGTAACCTTGTCTCATAAGCTCGTACATCAAACGTCCAAATTTGAAATTGTATGCGATTACAGTACTCTCCTGAGGAGGGTAGTAAAATAACGGTCTGCATATATTTACCGATACGTAATAAACTGGGCCGAGTTTGTTCGATACTAGAAGAATTTTCAGCCACGTGATCGACCGATAAACAAACCCTCCACATCAAAATAGGGTCTCAAGATAGTGAATAATACAGACTAAAGGTAAGTGATAACCATACACTTCAGAACTGTCATTACGACAGCTTTTTTCCCGTAATTATTTTTTTAGGTCCTCCTCCGTTTTGCAATATGCCAGAACAAGGTGAAACAGTATTATACTCGGTAAGAACAACGCATTCCTTTCGCTTTCAAATTCAGAACATAGATGATTGATTCATAGAAAGTGGGGCTATTGATACAGAAATATTTTGCATGTGCCTAAATGAAATATACTACATGACATAGAAAATGCAACACCGACTGGGAGTGCTGTAATTTTGAGCATACTTTTACTACTTTTAGGTCTACTGATAAATAGAAAATGATTAACATTTTAACTCGAAATTTCTCAAAATAGCTGACATATTCCACTTTAATGTTAATAACGTGTTGAAGCTCTTCTGATCGCTACACATTCGTTAAGTCGTCGAGGCATTGATTGCCTTACGCGACTGTTGTCTTCTTGGTTTATTGTATACAAGTTTTTATCAAAATGCAATAAATAATTCTAAGTGTTGCATTTATATATATATATATATATATATATATATATATATATATATTTTCACCTATATATATATATATATATATATACAGGGTTATCCAAATTAAGTGTCCACCATTAGTAACTTTGTTATTAGTGAAAATACAAAGTTGTTTGAATTAGCAAACTAGTAGCATTTTTAACGCTGGTAAAAATGAGAAATAAAAAAAAAAACAATTGAGAGTCGTTATTTTGATTTTTTCAGTAAAATAACATTTTTCTAAATGGAAACCCCTGTATATTATATTTTTTTCTGTTAAAGCATCGAATTTTAAACAAAAAAGTTCATAATGACTTTTCCGCTAAAGTCAAAAATAAAGTCAAAATAACGATAAATATTTTTAATTATTTGCAGTATTATAATATTAAGACGGCTATGAAAACAACATGGCGTTCGCGATTTGACAGCATTAAGATAAGCGACAAATTGTTAAACTGGACATACTCGCAACTAGAAGGCTTTGGAAAACAATGATAAAATCAAATAATGTCAAACATTAGTGTAAATACTTGTTTATAAGCTTTATTGTGTCATTAATTTAAAGAAAAATGTTCTCCCATGAAGAAAAGTGTGATATGTTAGAATGCTATTTAGTGTGCAGAAAATCCTCCTTGAGAGCAAGAGAATAATACTACAGTGAATTATATCCCGCTCGCATTCAACCGTATGAACGATATTTTCTGAGACTTTATCGAAAATTTAGGGGCAACGAAAATGTTTTTGCTAAAACAAGGGCAAAAAAAGAATTCATAATAAGCGAGGCCACGGAAATTGCAGTTATTGGATATTTTGAAGCTTAGCGTGAGAATTCAATAGCAGATATTCTCAAGGACTCTAATTTCAGTTATAGTACTGTTCAAAGGATTTTAAAAAAATACAAATTTATTCCGTATAAGTACCGACCAGTTCAAACGCTTTTGGCAGGGGATCCAGAGAGAAGACTTGTTTTTTGCCATTGGTATCTTAGCTTCTGTCGCCAAAATGTAAATAACTTTCGTTACCTTTTATGGACAGATGAATCAAATTTTTCAAATTCTGGAATGTTTAATAGAAAAAACCACCATTATTGGTCAAGAGAAAATCTTTTGTTAGTACATCCAAGAGGCCCACAGGTCCGTTTCAGTTTCAACGTTTGGTGCGGTATAATTGGTTCAAAAATTGTTGGCCCGTTCTTTTATGAGGGAACCCTAACTGGTGAAAGATATGTGGAATTTATGTCAGAAATTCTGACTAATTTCTTAGACGAATTGGATCTTATAAGTAGACATCATCTGCATTTTCAGCAAGATGGCGCACCTGCCCACAACTCCAGAGGTACTTATCATTTTCTAAGTACTACTTTTAATGATCAGTGGATAGGAACAAATGGCCCAATACAGTGGCCTCCCAGATCACCAGATCTAAACCCACTTGATTACTTCTTGTGGGGTTACTTAAAGAACCAAATTTACAAGCGAAGGTACGATAACCTTGACGCGTTAAAGACTGCAGTTAGGGAAAAGATAACCCAGATAGATGGTAGGACCATACTTAAGACAGTTCGAGCAGTTGAAAAACGTGCCCAAAATGTATTGAAGAACAAGGTGGTGTTTTCGAGCATCTTCTTTAAAAAAAATTGTTATTGTATTTTGTAAGATTATAAGTTGATGTTGAAAATAAAGTTTGTCGATACAATTTAATTGTTTCAGATTGGAGGCCATAACTTCAACAATTTGTAACCTAGTAGAAAAGTTATTGTAAGCTTTTTTGTTTAAAATTTGATGCTTTAACAGAAAAAATATAATATACAGGGGTTTCCATTTAAAAAAATGTTATTTTACTGAAAAAAATCAAAATAACGACTCTCAATTGTTTTTTTTTATTTCTCATTTTTACCAGCGTTAAAAATGCTACTAGTCTGCTAATTCAAACAACTTTGTATTTTCACTAATAACAAAGTTACTAATGGTGGACACTTAATTTGGATAACCCTGTATATATAGGTGAAAAATTAAAGCTTCCGCCTTTTGTTGGAACTTCGACAAAATTTAAGCAAGGAGGACTCTTTATACTTTTTTTATTCTCTCTGGCTTTCAATGGTCTTTGCCATCATCATCAGGAGCTGCAATTACATTAATAACAGTAGTGTAAATGAATTTAAATTAACTTACAGTAGTATGTGAGGATGTTGCTAATTGTTGTTTACGTTAAGCATCACATACTACTGTAAGTTAATTTAAATTCATTTTACACTATTGTTGCTACTGTTATTAATGCAATTGCAGCTCCTGATGATGATGGCAAAGACCATTGAAAGCTAGAGAGAATAAAAAAAGTATAAAGAGTCCTCCTTGCTTAAATTTTGTCGAAGTACCCAACAAAAGGCGGAAGCTTTAATTTTTCACCTGACTGGTCTAGACGACAATGACCACGTCTCAAGTTATATATATATATATATATAGACAGGGTGACTTCGAAGTTGAGTCATTTATTTTAACAGTGAGTAGATCTGATCAAAAGAAATGTTTTTTCCTTTACCATTTTTCTGGTAAAATTAAAGTAACAAAGTTATAGCCCTTTGGAAGTTTGAGTACCGCCCTGTCTCAATAATAATATTATGTGCTCGTGTTTGGCAACAACGGATATAATCCGCCTTATCGGTTCATCGCATCGGAAACAAAAAAGCGAAAGAATTTGGAACGATGTTTTTACAATTATTTTATTCAGTTGTATACAGTCAGTGTCAGTCGGTAACGCGTGAGTGAATAGTGGTGTCTGTTGCGTGCCTCAAACGAAATAAAAAATGGCACATGTTTATGCGGATCGGTTTCCCAATCGAGTGCAACCAACCCCTCGTGCCTTTGTTAATGTAGTACAACGGGCTCCTGAATCAGGTGACTTAAGAGCTCACAGGGGACGGCATGCCGGTGCTCCAAACCTCACGATCAAATACAGGTCCACACTGAAATACTTGTCGGGAGGATACTTTATAAAACAAGGTAAAAATTTTTTTTCATTTTTTTTTTATTTTTACACACATATTTGGTTATCTTCCTTCTACAATCATTATCTGAAAATTAATGACTCAACTTCAAAGTCACCCTGTATATATCACTAGTATATTACATGATTATGGTTATGAAGTGGTACTAAAAATTGTTCTACTTCATTTATGTGTACAGCATTATCGCTAAAAAAAACAAAAAACTTTTTCTTATACATTTTGAACCATGGTAAATTGTTAATCAGATGCAGATACACAACTTGATACAGCTTTCAGACGGCAAGTGATATTCAACCAATTTAGGCGTAAAAACACGGAAACTTTTAGTGGAAAATGCGTTTAAAATAGTTTACCTATTAATTTTGTGCGCTTTTTGATATTCAAATGATTTAATTTTTTAATCTGATTGACTATGTATTCGATTATTCAGGCCTATATTCATTATATACCTACGAAAAGGTACGTGTAAACTAATGTGTTTTTCGGCTGGAATGATATAGACGAAGCTCTGTGAATCTTGGTTGGTTTAATTGTTTGTTGTAGATTTATGTAGCATTAATGCTACAATATCAATGTTACACAGCATGTCACAAAATATTTTATGTCTTCAAGTCTACGTATTTTTATACAGAATTTCGCTACTATGAATTGTGATTTTCAATTTTATCTATTTTTAAGCAACTTCAACCATGGAGTACAGTGGCGGCGACGCCTTGCATGGAGCAGGTTGCTGGACCCCCGTTGCCGCCAAGACTAGGTACTTACTACCAAACTCCTAAACCACACCCATGGAGACCCACATTGGGCTACGAAACTGTAGAGCTCATGCCTCTGTAAGTTTATTTAGTGATTTTTGGTATGCAGGCAAGTTGTATGGAAATTGAATGGAATATTCAGGAAGTTTGAATATGAATAAATTATAGTTTAAAAAACTAAAAAAATACGCTTCAATAGCAAATCGAACTAAAAAGTAGAAAATAATTTTAGGTATAGGAGAGTTTGTGTTAGGGGCAATAGAAAAACCAGCAATCAAGTATGACTAATTAATTTGGGATAAGATAAATATAAAATTAATATATTAACAAAAAGTCAAATTATATTGAAAAAGCGTGGAGTGCTTGCTATTGAATGTTAGTATTATTTTTTGGGTTGATGGAATTGGATTTTATATTGATCTTACTCCAAATTACTCATAAGTACTTCATTATTGGTCTTTCTATTGAAGTAACACAAACGCTCCTATAAATTAAATTAGTTTTCAATTTCGATTTGCTATTATAGCGTATTTTTTAGCTTTTTAAACTATAACTTATTCTCTGAATTTTTAGGCTCAAAACGACAACAAAAGTATATTATCGAGAGCTTCGATTTTGGTTTATTTTATACAGGGCGTTTCAGTTTATTGTTGCATAACTTTAAGATTCGATAGAACGGTTAAAATTAATGCATAAAGTCTATATAAACATGGGTCGAAAAATGCGTGGATTCCGAAATACAGGGTGTTTAAGTTTACTTTCTAAAATAGTTTTTTTTTAAATATTTCGAACAATATTTGATGTATAACAGTGAAAATTGGTATACAAGGGTTCTTTGGTACGACAAAACGAACTATGCGCATAGTTTTACTGTATCCGCTAGAGGGCGCTCTCTACTGTACCTGTAGTGTATTAAAATAACCGAAAAAATTTTTTTAGTGCAATTTTTGCTTTTTGAATAAAAAAACTGATTCTTCGCACTTTTCAACATAAAAAAGCTCTCTTGTGAATTTTCGTTATAGTTAGTCGTTTTTGAGATATTTCGATTTTTAAGGTTCGATGCATTTTTAATTATTTATGATAAAATAACGTTAAAAGGTCAGTATCTCGATAATTTTTAGAAACAGGCTGTACCTGCAAATATTTTTGAAATTGAAAGCAGAATAAGGTTAAACGTCAATTAGTTGACAGTTAGTTTTGTTGTCTGTTGAAACCTGAAACGTTTTTTGCAATTATGAATGCACGAAATTTAGTTTCTTTTACCTGTTTTTTTTTGTAAGTTTTATAAAAATGCCATTTTCATTCTCCAATCAAGAGTTAGCGGATATTCATTTTGTGTGTGGCTTTGTAAATGGAAACGCAGCAGAAGCAGCCAGAGAATACGCACGATTTCCAAACAGGCGACATCCAACTGGCTCAGTATTTGTAAGAGTGCATCGCCAAATAATTGATAATGGTTTTGGAAATCTCCAAAGGGATCAAAACATAAATGTTCGTCAGCGCAGATTTACCCGTATGATTCTGCGTGAGTTAATAGAGATCCGACCACAAGTGTTAGGAGAGGTTCTGGTGTCTTGGGAATTTCAGCAAGCCATGTTCACCGTGTTCTTAGAAATGACCATAGACGTCCTTACCATTTGCAACCTGTGCAAGGACTACATCCAGGGGACGGAGAACGAAGAATCACATTTTGTCAGTGGATTCTTGATGAAGTGATAATAATAGGGAGTTTTTAAGTAACGTTTTATGGACCGATGAGTCATGCTTCACTAGACGTGGAGTGGTAAATTTTCATAATCAACATATTTGGTCGCATGAAAATCCGCATGCAGTTCGGGAAAGAAATGTTCAGCATGAATTTAGTGTGAACGTGTGGATTGGTATCTACCGTAATCGACTATTTGGTCCCTACCTTTTGCCTGCAAGGTTAAATGCTGCGACCTTCTTGGAATTTTTAAAGGCTGAACATGCAAATATGTGGGATGATGTTATGTTAGATTTAAGAAGATTGGCCTGGTTCCAGCTTGATGGTTGTCCAGCTCATTATTCGAGAATAGTTAGAAACTGGCTGGAAGAAAATTATCCAGAAAGATGGATCGCCGTGGAGGACCAGTCGCCTGGCCTCCACGATCCCCTGACCTAAATCCATTAGATTTCTTTGTGTGGGGATTTCTAAAAGAAAAGTGTACCAGACTCCCGTAACCACAAAAGATATGCTAATAGACAGAATCAGGAATGCATGTGATGAAATAAGGCCTTATTTGAATAATGCTATACCACGTTCGATCATTCGTAGATGTGAATTGTGTATTGAACAATTGGGTTTACATTTCGAGCAACCACTTTAGATTTTGTATGTTTGTCCTAACTATCCAATAGCATTTTAGTTGTAAATAATTAATTTAATTTGTTAAAAATAATATTGGAAAATTAAAACAAATTAATATTCTGTTTTTTTGTTTATTTGGAGTTAGGAATTATTGCTGTGTTTAAAAACACAATCTAAACGATCATCTTAATTAGTTGTAATGCCCAAATCGAAAATGTAAAAAAATATTATTTTCCCATGAATAATTAAAAATGCATCGAACCCTAAAAATCGAAATATCTCAAAAACGGCTAACTATAACGAAAACTCACAGGAGAGCTTTTTTATGTTGAAAAGTGCAAAGAATCAGTTTTAAAAAATATTATTTTCCCATAAATAATTAAAAATGCATCGAACCTTAAAAATCGAAATATCTCAAAAACGGCTAACTATAACGAAAATTCACAAGAGAGCTTTTTTATGATGAAAAGTGCAAAGAATCAGTTTTTTTTCTTCAAAAAGCAAAAAATTGCACTAAGAAAAAATTTTCGGTCATTTAATACACTACAGGTACAGTAGAGAGCGCCCTCTAGCGGCTACAGTAAAACTATGGTTCTTTTTGTCATACAAAAAACCCTTGTATACCAATTTTCACTGTTATACATCAAATATTGTTCGAAATATTTAAAAAAACTATTTTAGAAAGTAAATTTCAACACCCTGTATTTCGGAAGCCACGCATTTTTCGACCCATGTTTATATAGACTTTATGCATTAATTTTAAAAGTTCTATGGAATCTTAAAGTTATGCAACAATAAACTGAAACACCCTGTATAATAATACTTAACCCCAAAAAGAAAGAATCGAAAACAGGATACAAAAACATAAAACTTTGATAAGCTAAAATTATAGGTGTATAAAAATATGACAATAAATCTAAATTTCCTCCAAATTTGCTTCAAATTTTCCAAATTTTTTTCTAAATTTCCCGTATTTTTTCCATACTTTTAAATCCTCAAATTGTTTTCCAAATTTTCGAATTTTCCAAATTTTACGCGTACGAGGTCGCGGGTAACAGATTCTTAAGATCAAAAAATGTAGGCTTAGTACTGTGCATTCATATACAGGGTGATTCACAAGTCGTGACCAACAATGAAACACACAAGGGGGGTTTCAATGAACATTTATTCCCCGAGGGCTTCATTAATAAGATGGGGTGTTGAAGTTTGAAACGCGCATTATTCGAATTTTACTTTTAATTTGCTATAAATAATTAATCTCGTGTTTTTTCCTAGAGTGCACTGTTTTCGTGAAAATAAAAATAAAACAAATTAGATCATTCATAAAAAGCCGAGATACAATTAGTTTCAAAATAAAATAGGAGGCCTTGATATCAACTTGACGTTTCTTAGGAGATATGTAATTTGTCACGGTTGTTATCGATACTACTACCATTTTTTTTTGTTTTTGTAAAAGTCAAGGCAAAAGTTTCTTTTTCCATTTTTGAGTATTGTGAAATGGAATTTAGCAGTGATGAGTACGCCGATATTATTTTTGTGTGTAATGGAAATGCTTTAGCTGCGTCTCGGGAGTATCAACGTAGATTTCCTAACAGACGTCAACCTACTCCAAAGGTTCTTACAAATTTTGCGGTAATACGTTTTTTTAAAAGATGCCGCACTTGTATGTATCAGAATATTGAATACTTATTGAAATAAAGCTGTGATTATCTAATTCCTTTTTATTATTTTTACGAAAACAATGCACTCTACGAAAAAAAAACAAGAGTAATTATTTATAGCAAATTGAAAGTAACATACGAAAAATTGAGCGCGTTTCGAAAAAAAAAAGAGGCGCACTATTTTTATGTGGAAAAATAATGCCACTAATCCCCTGTATCTCCGCCACTCTTGCACGTTAATTTTAAGTAAAGACTTTTGAATGTGGACAATACTTAGGATAATCCACATACCAAATTTTAGTTCTTTCCAGTTGACGGTTTTGAGGATAGGTACTAAAAAAATGTTTTTTATTTTTAAACTTCAACACCCCACCCCGTATTTTTTCAATGAAGTCCTCGAGGAAACATGTTACATAGAAGACCCGCCTTGAAATGCAGTCCTGTGCATGATGTTTTATTTTTGGTCACGACTCATTTTAACCGACAAATTTATGTATTTATACTTAACTATATTTTTAATTTTTGTATATAATAATGTACTCATAGAGATATGCCTGACGAGTCTTATATCATTTCTATGATCCGAAGACAATAAAGCATCTATCTATCTATCTAACCCTGTATTTAAAGTATTTAAGCTTTAAGCAAAACTCCTCACAGATTATAATACATGTATAATGTATCAAAGATATCTAAAGAAGGATACCACGAAATATGACGTAAACATCCTCCTGATACACGAAATATTCAGCGCCAATTTTAGGCTTGCTGGGTCAGTGGACCCACGTTTTAGAGATGCAGGATCCCGCATTTCAATAAGTCGAGAGGCGTCCTCCAAGAACGCGGATGACAATCGCTAGATACACTGTCGTGTAAAAAATATCATTGTCTTAGACCAAGTCAGCATGCCACCAACTCGTTGGTCGATCCTTGCTACACCCCTTTCGGCATGGCTACCGAACCACTCAAGTTTCCAAACTTGGTAACGGGGTTTGAACGGATCCGGCTCACGCTGCCCGCGCGGCCCTTTACACGAGATACACGCCCTTAGAGTGGACCAGAAGCAACCTCAAGTTCTACAACGAGGCCGACACTAATAGGAATTATTCTGAGAGACTGAAAGGAGACTTCATCAGAGTTATGAGGTGAGTACGTGAAATTTTGTATATCCGAACTGTCACGAAAGTAAGGTCTTTTATATAAGCACTGTAAAGAAGTTATAATAATAAAGATAAATGGTACTTATTCATCGTTCAAGGTCCAAAAATGGAATCAGCACAATGACAAAACGAGTTCAGCATAAGCTGATTTCCAACTAAACACATAAAATAACACTCAAACAAAATGTATAAAAAATAGTATATAGGTAATACAAAATAAAACAAATGAGAACATCGCCAATACTATTTTTATAAATGCTCGACTCATGCGAAAAAAAGAACAAGACGACTTAAAAAGAATTATCCTTCAAAACTGAGCGAGTTATTTTCGACAATAGCTATGAATCATATATACAGGGTGGCCAACATATAACTGACTGATTTAGATGAAAAAAATGGATATATATATACAGGGTGTTCAGTTTATTGTTGCATAACTTTAAGATTCGATAGAACTTTTAAAATTAATGCATAAAGTCTATATAAACATGGGTCGAAAAATGCGTGGCTTCCGAAATACAGGGTGTTTAAATTTAATCTTTAAATAGTTTTTTTTTAAATATTTCGAACAATATTTGATGTATAACAGTGAAAATTGGTATACAAGGGTTTTTTGGTACGACAAAACGAACCATGGACATAGTTTTACTGTAGCCGCTAGAGGGCGCTCTCTACTGTACCTGTAGTGTATTAAAATGACCTAAAAATTTTTTTAGTGCAATTTTTTGCTTTTTAAATAAAAAAACTGATTCTTCGCACTTTTCTGCATAAAAAATCTCTCCTGTGAGTTTCCGTTATAGTTAGCCGTTTTTTGAGATATTTCGATTTTTAAGGTTCGATGCATTTTTAATTATTTAGGGGAAAATAATATTTTTTTTTAAATTTCGATTTGGGCATTACAAGTAATTAAGATGATCGTTTAGATTGTGTTTTTAAACACAGCAATAATTCCTAACTCCAAATAAACACAAAAAAAACAGAATATTAATTTGTTTAATTTTCCAATATTATTTTTAACAAATTAAATTAATTATTTACAACTAAATTGCTATTGGATAGTTAGGACAAACATACAAAATCTAAAGTAGTTGCTCGAAATGTAAACCTAATTGTGCAATACACAATTCACATCTACGAATGATCGAACGTGGTATAGCATTATTCAAATAAGGCCTTATTTCATCACATGCATTCCTGATTCTGTCTATTAGCATATCTCTTGTGGTTACGGGAGTCTGGTACACTTTTTCTTTTAGAAATCCCCACACAAAGAAATCTAATGGATTTAGGTCAGGTGATCGTGGAGGCCAGGCGACTGGTCCTCCACGGCCGATCCATCTTTCTGGATAATTTTCGTCCAGCCAGTTTCTAACTATTCTCGAATAATGAGCTGGGCAACCATCAAGCTGGAACCAGGCCCATCTTCTTAAATCTAACATAACATCATCCCACATATTTGCATGTTCAGCCTTTAAAAAATCCAAGAAGGTCGCAGCATTTAACCTTGCAGGCAAAAGGTAGTGTCCAAATAGTCGATTACGGTAGATACCAATCTACACGTTCACACTAAATTCATGCTGAAAATTTGTTTCCCGAATTGCATGCGGATTTTCATGCGACCAAATATGTTGATTATGAAAATTCACCACTCCACGTCTAGTGAAGCATGACTCATCGGTCCATAAAACATTACTTAAAAACTCCCTATTATTATCAGTTCTATCAAGAATCCACTGACAAAATGTGATTCTTCGTTCTCCGTCCCCTGGCTGTAGTCCTTGCACAGGTTGCAAATGGTAAGGACGTCTATGGTCATTTCTAAGAACACGGTGAACATGGCTTGCCGAAATTCCCAAGGCACCAGAAACTCTCCTAACACTTGTGGTCGGATCTCTATCAAACTCACGCAGAATCATACGGGTAAATCTGCGCTGACGAACATTTATGTTTTGATCCCTTTGGAGATTTCCAAAACCATTTTCAATTATTTGGCGATGTACTCTTACAAATACTGAGCGAGTTGGATGTCGTCTGTTTGGAAATCTTCGTGCGTATTCTCTGGCTGCTTCTGCTGCGTTTCCATTTACAAAGCCATACACAAATGAATATCCGCTAACTCTTGATTGGAGAATAAAAATGGCATTTTTATAAAACTTACAAAATAACAGGTAAAAGAAACTAAATTTCGTGCATTCACAATTGCAAAAAAAACGTTTCAGGTTTCAACAGACAACAAAACTAACTGTCAACTAATTGACGTTTAACCTTATTCTGCTTTCAATTTCAAAAATATTTGCAGGCACAGCCTACTTCTAAAAATTATCGAGATACTGACTTTTTAACGTTATTTTATCATAAATAATTAAAAATGCATCGAACCTTAAAAATCGAAATATCTCAAAAACGGGTAACTATAACGAAAATTCACAAGTGAGCTTTTTTATGTTGAAAAGTGCGAAAAAATCAGTTTTTTTATTCAAAAAGCAAAAAATTGCACTAAGAAATTTTTTTCGGTCATTTTAATACACTACAGGTACAGTAGAGAGCGCCCTCTAGCGGCTACAGTAAAACCATGGTTCGTTTTGTCGTACCAAAAAACCCTTGTATACCAATTTTCACTGTTATACATCAAATATTGTTCGAAATATTTAAAAAAAACTATTTTAGAAAGTAAATTTAAACACCCTGTATTTCGGAAGCCACGCATTTTTCGACCCATGTTTATATAGACTGTATTATTATTAATTTTAAAAGTTCTATCGAATCTTAAAGTTATGCAACAATAAACTGAAACACCCTGTATATGTATATTAAAAAACTATTTCTAAAATCTGATATATCTCACTTCAACATCAAACCCCTCTTTATTGTCAAGTCGTTTATTTTCCTATTTATCCATAGGGAAACAGACGAAACAACGGCGGGCGGCCAGCGCGAATCTGGCAGAAGACTGGGAGAGAGACTCACGGACACCACATTCTGGAGAAACGAGGTAAGAGGAGAACTTGATAGACTGATAGCAGAAACGTCCAAGCTTCAAGACGCTAGAAGAGGCATTCAAAAAGCTATTGATGATATCGAAGGACCTCTACATATTGCGCAGGAATGCCTGTATCACAGAGAAAAAAGAGAAGGTATTAGTTATATTCTGACGCGGGCATCTTTGATATCTCTAAAATCTTCGTCTCCATTACATTTCTATGTACAACCAAATGCGTTGTAGGTGTCTGTTTTGTTCGAAAAAATCCAGTATATCCCTGTATATATTTATATAAATGCCTATAAAGTTCAGCTATTGTTATATTGAGCGTGGAAAGTAGGAATATTGCTTTGAAGCTGGTCGGCACGGGTATAACGTATCTTGAAAAGTGACATTATGCCGATTTTTTTGACATTATGTAGGTTATTCACAAGATGTTAACTTAGCACTTAGTTGTACGTGTTGCCTAAACGTTATGAGGCTTGTTATCAATCTTCGGCTTTGATGTGATGTAAATCATAACATAACCTCTCATCAATCACAACATATAAACAACTCGTCATATTCGGCATAGTCAGTAATGATTTTCTCACACAGCTATCACTGATATTATACACATGCAGACCAATACACATAATCATCCAGATGCGATTGCTATTCAACCAACTTTCTTCTCAGAGATAAAAAGTACAGACCCGGATCACAAAGCTATGCAACCAATAATGCGTAGTTTAGTTGACTGATTCCTCCACAGATGGACGTTTACAACGATCCTAGTGAGCAAACGTGGAATGACTGTTTGCGCCCTAAAATGTTCTCGGTTGAGTTCCATTTTTCTAATGACTTGGTGACACTTAAAAATTCACTGTAGTAAGAACACTGCACGTATTGTTGTGAAACTTTGAATTTAAGTTTACTAAAGAGTGAGGCTACGATTCAGTACTGACGTTCTAACCGCGCGTCCTACTGTGTTTCTATATGCAAAACTTAAAAGACATCCCTCGTAATGGGAACTATTATTTTCTCAATCACTGATTCTCAAGAACTATACTTTTTACATTGTGATTTCATTGAAGGTATTGACCTAGTCCACGATAATGCAGAAGTAAGCCTTCTAAGAGAAATAGAGCTATACAGGAATTCCCAAAAGAAACTTAAGTGTCTGAACGAAAAGATTCAAGTTCAATTGACTAACAACCGAGCTGCGCAACACGAGCTGGAAACTGACGTGAAAAGCAAGGATTCTGCTTTGGGTATAGATAACTTATGTCATCAGTTGAACAACTTTTCTAAAGGTATCAACTACTATGGAGGAATTGAAAAGTTCGACCCAACGTAAGTCTGCTCATCTATAAGCCTGAATAAATGAATTCTTCGTTTTTTTTCACCGAATCGGCCTCGCAGGCAGAAGCCTTAATGCCAAGACACCGCGGAGGACAGCCCTAAGAAGCAAACCTCGTTGGTACGAAAGGGTCCCGAGACTGACTGTTAGCCAGCCATTGGACCCTGGTTTAGGCACTTCTTCAGAAATTTACAACTATTTTTTCTGATTCAAAAAATGTTCGGGTGCCAAAAACAAATCCGGTCCTGTCCCTTCGGAGCGCCCGCATTGATGCCAGCTTGTACATGATCGATCGCAATGTCCTCTTGGCAACGTTGCTGGCTTGTCTGTCAAACTTTGAACCGTCAAGACGGTTAATGTTTTGACAGCGACCTCAAAAAAATTCAAATTCAAATCGCAAAGTATTTTAGGGGGTATTGTAAACCTTTGTTTTTTAATTGCTAGTCAAGCGCTAGCTCAATGAATGTTCTGCGCGAGCACGGGAGATACAGCTTGCCTCTATGCTGCAACGTAAAATGTATCTTAAAATGAGACTGTCGTCATTGTTTATTTTTGAAGCAGGAACTCTTATTTTTAAAAATAGTTACTGTATTAGACGGAAACAAGATCTTAAACTAGTAATACGTAAAAAGAATAATCGATTTCAAGATATTTTGCCTTGCACTTAAAAACTTCCTTATCTGCAAACCATGTTATACCATGTGTTCTACAATTCATTTACTTGTGATTCACATTATGTAATTTTGTCTATCGATCTACCTACCTTAGAGTCTTGACCTATGCATCCATTTCTGGAACTCCCAACTTCGAGATTTTGATAATGCTGTGTACGAAAGGTCTTACTGGACAGTTCGTTTCGTTATTGTATTTTTTAGTGTGAGCAACACAGTGACATGGGCGGAAAACAGCAACAGAATAGTGCAACGCTCTCAGGCTGAGCGAGGTAAATCTGCTCAGATGCGATCAGATATTGAAAACCTAGTAAATACTTGCGCTCAAGAAGTCTGGGATGCTTGGAGTGCTACAAACAGTGCCCTAGCACGAAGGGCTGCTGAAACATTGGAGGCAAAGAGCAAACTACAAATGCATCTGCACAAGGTATAAATATTACTGTTTGTTGCGACAAAATACAAAAAAGCTTGTCGAATACTAATTTCGTAATCTTTCGATATGCGCTGCAGTGGTATTTTTGAAAGTTATAGTCGCACTTCTTTCGAGTTCTATTCGCTAGACTTGAATCCCTATTTCAGCATGCTAACAAGTAACATAGCGTATACATACACAGTGACATTTTATCTAAGATCCTAAATTATTTTTTTTACAGATACAGCAAGAAATATTCGAGATCGAAAAGTATATAGAGCTACTGAAAAGATCAATTTTGGATAAAAGCATGCCAATGAAAGTAGCACATACACGTTTGGAAGCAAGGACTCACAGAAAAGATGTTGAGTTGTGTAGAGATTCAGCTCAAGACAGGTAAGTAAATCGCGTCAAGTAAGTTGACTTTGTACTTTAAAAAAATTATGTTAGGCATAGACAGGCCACGGATTAGCGAATCACTGTCTCATTTTCCAGAGGCGTGGGAAGTAAAAATTGGCACTTTGCTTTTGTAAATAATTTTGACTAACTCATGTAAAAACCCTCTTTCACGAGTATACGAGGGTGGTCCCAGAAGTACCGGGCCTGACCTAGCGATGGCGATAGTTGTTTGAAAAATATCATTGTATTAGACAGTATGCAACCTATAAAGCATATGTGTCAAGTTTGAAGACGCCACGTTGTTTAGTATTTGTTTGGCTGCCATCAATACTGAACGTTGTTGGGTAGCAGAGTTTAAACGAGGTCGTATGAGCTGCCAAGACGAGCATAGCGGTACTGAATGATCGACGACTGAAAGTGCGCGAGCTAGCAGACATAGTAGGCATTTCAAAAAGTGCGGTTCATCGCATATTATCTGAAAATTTGGACATGAGAAAGCTGTGTGCAAGATGGCTGCCGCGATTGCTCACAATCGACCAATAACAATGTCGTGAAGAAGCTTCAATTGAGTGTTTAGCGAAGTTTCACAGCAACAAAGCAGAATTTTTTCGTCGTTTCATGACCATGGATGAAACATGGGTCCATCACTTCACACCCGCGACAAAAGAACAATCAAAACAATGGACTCAAAATGGAAAACCGGCACCAAAGATGGCGAAGACCGTTTCATCTGCAGGCAAGGTTATCGCGTCGGTTTTTGAATGCGCGTGGGATAATTTTCATTGACTATCTTGGAAAAGGTAAAACTATCAACGGCGAGTATTATGCGAACTTATTGCAACGTTTGAGCGATGAAATCAAGCAAAAACGGCCGCATTTGGTTAAGAAGAAAGTGTTGTTTCATCAAGACAATGCACCAGCTCCGTTATTGCAATGGCCAAAATTAACGAATTAAAGTGTGAATTGCTACCTCATGCACCCTATTCACCAGATTTAGCCCCCTCGGATTATTTTCTGTTTCCAAACTTGAAAAAATGGCTCAGTGGTCAAACATTTTCCAACGATGAAGAAGTGATGTCGGCAGTTAATGGCTATTCTGAGGAGCAAGACAGTTCTTATTATAAAAAGGGTATCAAACTCATTGAACATCGCTGGGAAAAGTGTATAGAGCTCAAAGGAGATTATGTTGAAAAATAAATACATTTTTTTTTACAAAAATTTTGTTTTCTTCGTTGGGTCGGGTACTTCTGGGACCACCCTCGTATATCACGTTTGACGTGTACTGCGAATCGGCAAGTGAGATCTCTGTGTTAGTCTGTAACGTTGGTAACAATAAGTGGGGTGTAAATCTAGTATAACTTGCTGGTAGCCTGTTTTGTATGCAAAATAAAACCTTTCAAAATAAAAGAATTCGGTTCTGTCTACCTGGCGTTGACGGATCCGACACATTTATGTGTCATTTGTCGATATGGGGAATTTTACTAGATAATCGGCTGTTATTCTGCCGTAATGGATACTCGTGAAAAAGACAATACCATTTAAACCGCATGCCTTCTTTTTACAGGTTAATGATTGAGGTGCTTGATTTACAGCACAATATAGAATTGATCCATCGTAAGCTGCAAGAGGCAGAAGCTCAACATCAACAGCTGCTCAAAACGAGAGCAAATCTAGAGTCTGATTTACACAGTAAAGTGAACACACTGTTCATTGACAGAGAAAAGTGTATAGGGATGAGGCGATCTTTCCCTATCACAGCAACTATCAAATACTAAATACTTGAATCACCACTATGCACTTAATGAATATAGTGATAAACACAAAGTGTAAAATTGTATTTGTGGGAAATATTGCTGATAAAACTTGCATCAAAAAATAACACTGACCCATCTGTACACATTATACTCTGGCCACAAATTCATGCAATAAAAAAGGTTCAACAAACAAGAAGTTTATTTACATTTATAAATAGGACATACATTATTTTTTACAAAACTAGGCATAGGTAATTTCATTCCATCTTTGGCTTCAAAGAACGTATATGATAATGTGATTTCATTTATGTATTCCATATATGGATCCTCAACAATTTCTGGATCAATGTAGAAAAAGACAGGCATATCAACCTAAAAAAATCATTCTATAGAATAATTAAAATTTTCCTGCATACAAAATTAATTTGTCTCTACAAATGATTCTCAAAGACAATGCACAAGTCTCATACAGAGGAAGAATTAGATGCAGAAGTGAGAATATCAAATTTGCAAAAAATTTCAAATTCAGGACTGGTATGTAAATGTCACTCAAATTGATGCAGATGGAATTTAAGATAAAAATAAAATAGATAACACAGCTATGATTTTAAGAAGCTTCCTAATTTATTATCAAATATTCCGGACAATGTTTGGTGTCATTATTTAAAAAAAACAGGAGACTTCTTGTGAAGTCTGATTTTTCAAGTTGTTAATACAATTAACAATAATGCCACTAAATAACTGATTTTTAAATTCTAAAATAAACGGGAGGTCAATTTACCTGTTTCCATTTTTTTGACTTTCTATGATACTCAAAAGGAGATTTTTTCAAAAGCCTTTCATTTCCAATTTGGTAAATTATGATACTTTTAAAATTAAAGATAAATGAATTTTAATGACTCAAGTTTTTATAGTTTTCCTTTCTTAAATTATATTATATTGCAGTATAAGGATGTGTTTATAGATATGGACGATATCTTGAATATTACCTGCTCATGGGGATTCAGCATCTGTTCTTCAAAACAGAAACATTGTATTTTATTAAAATATTGTCCAGCTTCAAATGGAACAACATTATATGTACTTATTCCTATTACTGGTACATCAGTTGGGTTCATGGCAGTATAGAATGCTAATGCTGTTTCACCTGGATATACCTTAAGTGATTTCCAAAGAAAAAAATATTTAGATTTATCCTGAAGTAAAATCTTCAATTATTTATTTAGGTCTCTTACCGTTATCTCAGTCTGCTGGGGTTTAAAATTCCATCTCATGCTTGCAGCAGTGTCAGCATTAAATTTTATTTTAATAGGTTTCTGTTTAACCGCTGACATTGAGGATACCTTTTCAGTGTCATGTCCTGTAGCTGTGGTGCCCCCGTAGCTGTATGCTTGACAAAACATTCGATAAAGAGGCACTGCAGCATAACTTAAACCCACCTATTACATGATTTCATTTTACTCATTATGTGATTGAGGGTAACTTTAAACTCACCGTTACGATTCCCGCGGCTGTAACGTAATATAGGGTAGATTTTATGCTCCTTTTCCTAGTTTCACCTGCAGAGTCTGCAGCTTTTAGTCTTAAGTTCGAAGAAAGATGGAAAACACGTTTTTGGTATCGTAACAAGTTGAACAAGGGTTTTCTTGTTGCATCCGGACATAGTTTACATAATTTTTGGCTTAAATTCATTTTTAAAGGGACATGTTTTGAAAATTTTAAGGTTATGTCATAAAAGTGGTTAGAAATATGAAATCACAGCTCAGAACAAACACTTAAGAAATCAAGGAATAGATTGACAGCAAGATAGCCAACATGTTGTGTTTAACTGCCATCTTGATTGACATGAACTTTAAAGGGTAACCACAGGAATGACTTAGGCTGAACTATACTTTAGCAGTAAAAATTTGAATTCATGTGATCATCTGACATACAAAAAATGTTCATTATCGTCAATGTATTTGTTCTGTTACAAGCGTTCTATAGCTTGTAGTTCACAATTATGCGTAATTTGAGCGCAGCGCACAACCACCTCTAGATGTACCTTTACGCCTTTACGGGTGCTATTTTGTCATATCTCATTTTTAATGTTTTGTGCTTCATTGTTTATTTTATGTTTTGAGGCAAAATCTAACCGCCTAACCGCATTTTCTCATATTTCAAATTTACAACTAGAAAAACCAAAAAGGAAGCGTGCTTCTGGTTTTTTGAAGGATCACTACATCTGTTATAATGGCAAATGTAGACGCTCTAACTGAAGCTCTTGCGAAAACTAAAGTCGATCAGAATGGAGTGAGTTTCGCCGGGAAATCTTTGAAATTGGACAACGAGGACGATGGTATACCCAAGTACATTGATAAAAGTCCATATTCTAAGGCCATGATTCTATTTTAGCTAACGAAGTTACTGAAGCAATCAATGAATGTACTGACTTGGAATACCTCAATTTGGAAGGTAACACATTGGGTGTAAATGCAGCCAGAGCTGTAGCAAAATCATTGGAGAAGCACCCAGAACTAAAAAGAGCATTATGGAAGGATATGTTCACAGGAAGAATGAAGACGGAAATCCCAAAAGCACTGGTTAGTTTTCTATCTCGTGACAATCATCCAAAATCAAGATAACAGTTTTTACACTATGAACATGATACTCATGTAGTAGTAAGGGTGATTTTATTTTGAACTGCATTGTGCAATAACATGTTTGTTTTGTAAGTTACATTTTTTAGGAACATTTAGGTAATGGTTTAGTGACAGCCGGAGCTCGATTAGTCGAACTAGACTTGAGTGACAATGCTTTTGGGCCTATTGGTGTTGAAGGCTTAGCTGCATTGCTCAGGAGCTCCTCATGTTACGCTTTGGAGGAACTCAGGTTGAACAATAACGGACTTGGAATCACTGGTGGGAAATTGTTGGCTGCAGCTTTAACAGACTGCTACAAGAGCAGCAAAGAGCAGGGAAAGCCACTGGCTCTGAAAGTTTTCGTTGCAGGTAGAAATAGGCTGGAGAACGATGGGGCTACAGCCTTGGCCCAGGTGTTCAAGGTAATTGATTTGCATTTGTGGTACAGTGTATTGCACTGTTCAGTTTATAACTATAAACACTGGATTTTATTTATTTATAAATTGTTACAAATACAAATGTACACTAAGGTTTATCTAATGATACCAGGTTGATGATAGACTGCAACAAAATAATTTTAGGGGTGGCTGTACAGTTACTAGACTGACGACTGTGATTGGTCAAATAAGCAAATTTTTAAAATATACTAAGTGACATATAAATCCGAACAGCCAGCTTAAATGGTTTATTTTAATGAAATTTTGTCTAAGTACTTAATGAAGCATAATAAGTAAATGATAAAAATTTCAAAATGATTGCACTGCTTTAAAGCCCTTTGACCTTTAATAATGTGTGGATGCACCCTGATGTGCTACGCATTCTCCAACGCGCCTAGGCATGCTTCTGATCAGGTGGTCAATGTCCTACTGTGGTATCTCATTCCAGGCAACCACCAACTCCTCTCGAAGTGCTTCTAGAGTCTGAGGAGGACGTTGCAAATTGAGCAATCTCCTACCCATCATATCCCACACGTGGGGATAAGTCGGGAGATCTTGGAAAGTTGGATCTGCCATGGTGTCAAGATAGGGTAAAAGATGGGGTTCTAGAACTTCGTGGATATAACGCTGCGCGTTCATGTTACCTCTGATGAAGATTAAAGGTGACCTGGAACCATAAGCTATAGCACCCCAAATCATAACTCCAACAGTGTGATGAACATGTCTTTCAACAAAAAACTGTGGATTTCTCCTTTCACCACGTCGCCTTCTAACCCTGGCACGACCATCGTGCATGCCTAAACAAAATCGAGACTCGTCACTAAAGACAATACTGTTCCATTCCTGATCCCAGAGTGACCATTGTCTGCACCACTCAAGGCGATTACGTCGGTGTTCTCGAGTTAAAGGGAGGACCCAGTGTGGCCGGTATGAAACAAGCCAAAACTTCTCATTCGTCGGTAAACACTTCGCATGCCAATAGGTCTTCCGTGTTCTGCAAACCATTCATTGCAATGGACCTGATAGTGGAGAAATGGTCCCTTAAATCCAATAATCTTGGGCGGCGATCTTCACGGTCTGTTGTTCTACGGCGGCGTCCAGAAGCCATGCCTGACAACATCTAACCACAGGGTCTACACTTCTTTGCACTCTAACTGCAATTGCCCGAAAAGAAAGTCCAGCTTCCCGAAGTCCCACTATACGGCCCCTATCAACTCACTAAGTTGACGAAATCGTACAGGTCTCCGTACTCTAGGCATCGTAACCGATCGTAAAGGATGTCAAGAACCAAAATCCGCCAACGTTGATTCTTTTCTGCGGCTGAAATATTCATTTTTAGAGCGTTAGTGAATTAAAAAAAAGCAGTATAAAAACCGGAATGTCCAACTGATAAGGCTGAAAATTTTTTCACTTGTTATTTACAGTAAGATAAATACATTCACCAACTTTTATTAAAATAAAACCATTTGAACTGAGTGTTCGGATTTATATGTCACTTAGTATACATTTTAATTTCAAGCATACATTTCTCTTTTGTTACTAAACAAAATAGTGGTATATTTCATAGAGGGCCCTAAAAGGTAGACAGCTATGGACTGACATACAGGTTTGTGGTGTCTTGAAATTGTATTTCTAATTTAAAAAGAAGCTCCAAAAACTCTCTATATCCCTGATTTTCAACATAACTTTTGAGCTGCTTGGTCAGGGTAATAGCTTTATCATAATTTGGAATAGCTGGAACCTAATCGAAATCAGAATCTTTGGAGAGTTCTTATATTTCAACTGGATTTTTAATTTTCTGGTCTGAATCTCATACAAACTTTCATCTCGGTTCAAAAAATCGTAAAGTCAGTCAATTTCAATAAATCCTTATTTTTGAGGATATCTGAAAGTACCTCAATTGGTAAGTCATTTTCTGAGTCAGGTGTATGAGACTTTGGTAATAAGTTTTAAAACTCTTTATATTCATTCATATGGCATTAAAATGGGTTGGTTATGTTAGGTTAATCTTTTGTGGCTTAGTTGTTTTCTGGGATGACCACCTATTCTTTTATGTCCTGTTGGAATTCTAAACTCACTACAATTATTAGTGGTTTTTTTAATCATCAATGAGATGGTAGACAACAACATGGCTCAGCAGGTATTAGCACTGTACTGAAACTTTTTACTTATGATGTAGGACCTTGTAAAATATCTCCATTAGACAGTGTTGTCATTTATGTTACTTATTGTGACCAGCTGTGTGATACTGGTGGTAACATACTGTTTGACATTTTAAGGGCCATCGTAGATTCACTAGTATTAATTCAGTATATCTGCAGTATAAAGGCTTTAAGAATAAAAAGATGAATCTGACTCCAGATGGTTAAATGTCTGTATAAACAACAATTAAACTACAAACATAAAAAATTTCTCCAGATGATTGGTACTCTAGAAGAGATTGCCATGCCTCAGAATGGAATTTACCACGTGGGAATCAAAGCTCTATCGGAAGCATTTGTCCACAACAAAGGCTTACGCGTTTTAAACTTGAATGATAATACAATTGGCTCGAAAGGGGCCGACCATATTGCTGGAGTGTTGCCGCATCTTCAAGCGTTGACTGACATCAATTTCGGGGACTGTCTACTGAAGACTAAAGGCGCATCCAGACTAGCCGAGGCTCTTACGGACGGACATAAGAATCTCAAGGATTTACAACTTGGTCAGTAAACATGGAGTATTTTCGAAAAAATGACTTTTGCTTTTAAGTTTGACTACTTGTACTTTATGATGGAAAAATTCCGTGTTGAGGATCGATAGAATATATTTTGTGTAATGTTGCAATATTTAGATTTTCAGGTAGGTAAACTTTTTGCGAATCTGCCAAAGAATAATGAGATTTGCGGCATTTGAGGCTCTTAATAAACGTGGTCACTTTCTGTTTTGTGTTTTCTCAAAGTTTGTGAAGTCGTGTGTTGCGTTTTCCGCGCATGTCGATGGGCGATTTCCCAGTTGCAACTAACGAGTCTCTTATGTACCGAACTCATCGAACTGTAAGTCCGTGTAAAGACAAATTGGAACATCACGTATAATTCCTTTTTCCACCAATCGACCATGATAACTACAGCATTATTAAGCCTTGACTCTGCTTCATTTTTTCGTGGGCGTCTACGCATGACAAGAAGAACAACGATAAGACCACTAAGATAAGCGTTTTGTGCATTATTGTTTCCTATTTCATTAAATTCACGAAGAAGTCTACAGCGTTCAGGTTCAGGAACAGTAGTAGAACAGCGAAAACGCTCACAAAAACAATCAGATCCAAGTTCGTGGGTAGTGGCGCGCAACGTTTTTTGCGTTTTTTTCGTTTCTCTGTTTGATGGGCCTTATAAACATAGTCAATATTCAAAATATCAGCGTTTACAACTCACGTGGACTCTAATAGTAAACCAATGGCTAATGCAATAACGAAGCGCCCAAGCGGTACGGCCGATACAACGCCGCCTTTCCATATGGACTGATGCCGTTTTTCCATACACGCGCAGGGACTCATGCCATTCTTCGCCGGCACAGGGAATCTTGTAGCTGTTGTTTTTACAAGTTAAGAAGCTGATTAGAAGATAGTATCAGGAAAATAGCACCAAAATAAACTAAAAGCTCAATTTAGCGAAATAATGAACTAATGCCGTTTTTCCCCGGTACCCTTCATATGTCTGGGTCATGATAGGTCGCAGGCTCTTAAATTTCCAACACCCTCCACAAACTTCAGCAGCTCTTACTCACAAAGTTGCAGTAGCGTGGAATGAGATATCCCAACAGGATATCGACGACCTCATCAGGCCCAGGCGTGTCGATGAGTGTATAAGAAATCGTGGATCCTCAACACATTATTGAACTAGCTTCTGCAGTCCGTTGACGACTCATGCTGAAAATTGAATCATTTCACTAGTAAGCAACACCGAACATATACGCCAAAAATTATTAAAATCGGATAAACATAACTATGTGTACATTTTGTGTCAGTATAGTTACTCTAAGCAACTATAATCAAACTCTATTCTAGGTTACAATGAAATCCGTGTAGATGGAGCGTTGCTAATCGCATGTGCCATGAAAAATAAACTTAAAATTGTCAGTCTCCAGTTAGATGGCAATCAGTTTGGCACGAAAGGTAGAAAAGAGCTGGAGACGAAACTGAAAGAATTTGGTAAGTTGTATACAAGTTGCATGATGTTGCAGTAGTGATTCACGGCGACTGATTACAGGAAAACTGCATGTCTTGGGTAGTTTGGACGAAAACGAATCTGAAGAGAGTGAAGAGGAAGCAGAAGATGGTGAAGATGGAAACAGCACCGAGGAAGAAGAAAGTGCTGATGAATCAAACCAATCTCACAATAATAGTGTAACAATTGTTGAACTCACTGATTCAAATATATCTGCGAAAGACTTCCTCAAGAGCCCTAACATGGATAACTTCATGGCCTTAGGAGATAACAGGACTGTACTTATTTATGAAGAAATTAAGGTTCGTTTTCATTGATATTCATTAGCGTTTATGGAAAGTCTATCTGGAATCGTGTGTTTTTTTGGTAGCTCTAAATATTTTCTCAGTAACTTTTTGTGGTTTCTATGCAAATTTCATCATAATTAAACTAACTTTCTCTTACAGACTAAGGACCAACAGGACATTGATAGCTATGTAAAAGTCTTGATGAAAATATCTGCTATGAGCAACAATTTAAAGACTGATGTATCTGACGCCTCGTCAAATGTGCTGAATACCTATATAAACAACTTTTTATTTGGGCACAACAGGAGGATCATCTGTGGTCCGTCACAAATTCTTTGCTCATCAATTTAGGCTTGATAAAAGTAAGGAAAAGTCATGTCAAATCAGTACATATATGAAACAACTTGACACGGATTTTTTTTTAAGGGGGAAGACAAAAAATTAAGCCAACCTGGAACATGGAAGGTTGTTATACAGTAATAAAAAATATTATCCATAAAAATTATTTCCCAGAAAGCATAAGGATGTCCTTGAAACTGTTCATGCAAAGGTATGTCCAACGTACAAATTTAATTTTCCTAATGTCCAATTGATTGTATACTGTTTCAGGAACTTGGAGAAGAATCGTGATCTGGCATCATTGAAAAATCAAATAATAGCAAGTTGTGATTAGAAATATTTATTATCGATTATACTTGTACCAGTTCCATACTTTATAATATATCATTTGAGACATATCCTTCGTTTTTTTGTATGGATGTTTTGATGTAATTTTAATAGCAGATCCATGCTGCACCAAGAAACAAAAGGCTGCGCGGTTTTTGAAACTCGGAGGTGGTGGAGTTTTGAACGGAACAAAAAATATCTATTTTCATTTCACAAAAAAATGACGATGATCTTGAATGGCTTCGTACTAAAAGCTTTACATTTCAAATGCACCAAGACTAATCTAAAGGACTTAGGTCCCGCTCGATGGGGCTTCGTCTGCCGATCCACTGATTCGGGAAATAGGTGTCAAAAAACTGCCGTCTTCTAGGAAATGAATGCAATTTTCATTATAATTGACGTCATTTTCTATTATTTCGGTAATTCAAGTTTCTAGGAATAGAGAAGAATCGTGACCTGGCATCATTGAAAAATCAAATAATAGCAAGTTGTGATTAGAAATATTTATTATCGATTATACTTGTACCAGTTCCATACTTTATAATATATCATTTGAGACATATCCTTCGTTTTTTTGTGTGGATGTTTTGATGTAATTTTAATAGCAGATCCATACTGCGCCAAGGAACAAAAGGCTGCGCGGTTTTTGAAACTGAGAGGTGGTGGAGTTTTGAACGGAACAAAAAATATCTATCTTCATTTCACAAAAAAATGACGATGATCTTGAATGGCTTCGTACTAAAAGCTTTACATTTCAAATGCGCCAAGAGTAATCTAAAGGACTTAGGTCCCACTCGATGGGGCTTCGCCTGCCGATCCACTGATTCGGGAAATAGGTGTCAAAAAAATGCCGTCTTCTAGGAAATGAATGCAATTTTCATTATAATTAACGTCATTTTCTATTATTTCGGTAATTCAAGTTTCTAGGAATAGAGAAGAATCGTGATCTGGCATCATTGAAAAAACAAATAATAGCAAGTTGTGATTAGAAATATTTATTATCGATTATACTTGTACCAGTTCCATACTTTATAATATATCATTTGAGACATATCCTTCGTTTTTTTGTGTGGATGTTTTGATGCAATTTTAATAGCAGATCCATACTGCACCAAGGAACAAAAGGCCGCGCGGTTTTTGAAACTCAGAGATGGTGGAGTTTTGAACGGAACAAAAATATCTATCTTCATTTCACAAAAAAATGATGATCTTGAATGGCTTCATACTAAAAGCTTTACATTTCAAATGCGCCAAGAGTAATCTAAAGGACTTAGGTCTCGCTCGATGGGGCTTCGCCTGCCGATCCACTGATTCGGGAAATAGGTGTAAAAAACTGCCGTCTTCTAGGAAATGAATGCAACTTTCATTATAATTAACGTCATTTTCTATTATTTCGGTAATTCAAGTTTCTAGGAATAGAGAATAATCGTGATCTGGCATCATTGAAAAATCAAATAATAGCAAGTTGTGATTAGAAATATTTATTATCGATTATACTTGTACCAGTTCCATACTTTATAATATATCATTTGAGACATATCCTTCGTTTTTTTGTGTGGATGTTTTGATGCAATTTTAATAGCAGATCCATACTGCACCAAGGAACAAAAGGCCGCGCGGTTTTTGAAACTCAGAGATGGTGGAGTTTTGAACGGAACAAAAAATATCTATCTTCATTTCACAAAAAAATGATGATCTTGAATGGCTTCATACTAAAAGCTTTACATTTCAAATGCGCCAAGAGTAATCTAAAGGACTTAGGTCCCACTCGATGGGGCTTCGTCTGCCGATCCACTGATTCGGGAAATAGGTGTCAAAAAAACTGCCGTCTTCTAGGAAATGAATACAATTTTCATTATAATTAACGTCATTTTCTATTATTTCGGTAATTCAAGTTCTAGGAATAGAGAAGAATCGTGATCTGCCATCATTGAAAAATCAAATAATAGCAAGTTGTGATTAGAAATATTTATTATCGATTATACTTGTACCAGTTCCATACTTTATAATATATCATTTGAGACATATCCTTCATTTTTTTGTGTGGATGTTTTGATGTAATTTTAATAGCAGATCCATACTGCACCAAGGAACAAAAGGCCGCGCGGTTTTTGAAACGCAGAGGTGGTGGAGTTTTGAACGGAACAAAAAATATCTATCTTCATTTCACAAAAAAATGACGATGATCTTGAACGGCTTCGTACTAAAAGCTTTACATTTCAAATGCGCCAAGAGTAACCTAAAGGACTTAGGTCACACTCGATGGGGCTTCGTCTGCCGATCCACTGATTCGGGAAATAGGTGTAAAAAAACTGCCGTCTTCTATGAAATGAATGCAATTTTCATTATAATTAACGTCATTTTCTATTATTTCGGTAATTCAAGATTCTAGGAATAGAGAAGAATCGTGATCTGGCATCATTGAAAATCAAATAATAGCAAGTTGTGATTAGAAATATTTATTATCGATTATACTTGTACCAGTTCCATACTTTATAATATATCATTTGAGACATATCCTTCGTTTTTTTGTGTGGATGTTTTGATGTAATTTTAATAACATATCCATACTGCACCAAGGAACAAAAGGCTGCGCGGTTGTTGAAACTCAGAGGTGGTGGAGTTTGAATGGAACAAAAAATATCTATCTTCATTTCACAAAAAATGACAATGATCTTGAATGGCTTCGTACTAAAAGCTTTACATTTCAAATGCGCCAAGAGTAATCTAAAGGACTTAGGTCCCGCTCGATGGGGCTTCGTCTGCCGATCCACTGATTCGGGAAATAGATGTCAAAAAACTGCCGTCTTCTAGGAAATGAATACAATTTTCATTATAATTAACGTCATTTCTATTATTTCGGTAATTCAAGTTTCTAGGAATAGAGAAGAATCGTGATCTGCCATCATTGAAAAATCAAATAATAGCAAGTTGTGATTAGAAATATTTATTATCGATTATACTTGTACCAGTTCCATACTTTATAATATATCATTTGAGACATATCCTTCATTTTTTGTGTGGGATGTTTTGATGTAATTTTAATAGCAGATCCATACTGCACCAAGGAACAAAAGGCCGCGCGGTTTTTGAAACGCAGAGGTGGTGGAGTTTTGAACGGAACAAAAATATCTATCTTCATTTCACAAAAAAATGACGATGATCTTGAACGGCTTCGTACTAAAAGCTTTACATTTCAAATGCGCCAAGAGTAACCTAAAGGACTTAGGTCACACTCGATGGGCTTCGTCTGCCGATCCACTGATTCGGGAAATAGGTGTAAAAAAACTGCCGTCTTCTAGGAAATTAATGCAATTTTCATTATAATTAACGTCAGTTTCAATTATTTCGGTAATTCAAGTTCTAGGAATAAAGAAAGGTCCTACAATATAATTTCAGAAATCTTGTACGGAGAAAATTTATTGGCTTTCGAAATTCTTTGTAATGTTCAGCGTGTAAATCCTGACGAAGTAGCCAGTCCACGAGTAGGCTTTGGGTGTTGTCAAGTGCTACGCGTCCCAAACCTGCTATTTCTGCGGCTTCATTTCTAACTGGTCGATTTTGTCGATGGCGATTAGATCCAGTTTCTTAAAATTTTCTTATCAACTTACCCACATACTTATCGTTAATATCTTTTTCTGGATGTAACGCATTAAACAACGACGCAGTAGCTTTGCAATGCTCCCATTTTGGTAATACAGTTTTATTTCTACCCTTCATTTTTTTTCTTTTATATCGAAGCAGCCGCGCAGGCAGAAGCCTAAATGTCGGAACACCGCGGCTGCTGTGATGATCCCAAAAATTTTTTGTTTTGAACTGCCTAAGCTAGAACTGGGAAAAGCATCCTCTTGTAGACGTATAAACTTTATTATATAAAAGTTATTAAAAACGTCATGGAAATTTATAAATCATAAAAAATGGGGTTTCCATATAAAAATCTAAAGCGTAACGCAATATTTTATTTTTGGATCACCCTGTATTGTATGGCTATTGATGAAAAGACGTTCCCCTAGAAGTCAAAATTGACGTGTCCGAGCATTTTCCCCTAAATATACCAGGAGAGTCCCAAATGGGGCTGCAACCTATCCGTTGAACCACCGTGTTTATTTATGGGGCAGGCAACATAGGTACTAGTTCTTATAAAAACAAATTTGTGAAAAAACTTTATTAGGATATCCGTATTTACAAATATAAAAAATATGACTCGTATATAAATTTTTATTCATTACTTAGGCTTATATATCTAATATCGATACGTCTGTGTTTAACTGAAATTATAAATCATTCATTTGAAATAGAGTTCAAAGGTCAGTGGTACATATTGGCTAAATATTCCTCAGTCAATATTTGAAATGGCTCTCCAGCAGATGCTATAGGCTGCAAGGTTTGTATAAATCAATTTCAGAAATAACATAAAACTGATCTCCAACATTGTATGTCAAATATGATTTTCCCCAAAATCTATTATGAAGTTCTGTTCAGTATGGCATCTTCTAAATACATAAGTTCATTTGATGTAAATTATTAAAATATATAACAGTTTTTTAAACTAAACATGACCGTCAGGTCCAGTTACATACTATAGAACATATTTTCAATTGAATTGTATAGGAAGCTTCGTAATGATTGCACAATAATCAGTTTTAATAATCATTATGCTGAGTTGACTATATTTGAATATATGTATTATTTATACAAATTTAGGTCATTGTTTACCGTGATCTGTCCGTATTTATTATGGAATATGATGTATTGACGATGTAGCCAGGACATCAGTCATTATTAATTTATGATGCATAGGAATCCACTGACACTGATGGAATGATCAGTGAATACTGACAGTATGGACCACAGTAAATACTGATCATGTGGTATTTCACCTTGAACTAGTGCTGCGTTTTATCTATTCCAGAAAATTTACAATAATTGCTTTAGCCAATAACAACATTCTATTTGCTTGTAAGATTCAATGATTTATTCACAATATTACAGAAAAATTCACTGACAGATTTTTTACAGATCATTTTATATTATAATAAATACACAATTTGACAATTATGCATTCAAATAT